GGGATTGGGGGGGGGGGCGGTGGACAAGTCTAGATAAACTTCTCATCATTTAAGAATGAAAAAGCTTAAAAATCAACAGATTTTCCCCTCAAACACTATGTGGCCTATGAACAAGCGGAGGCATGGAGGGAAGCAAATAGGACCCCACTGTAAGAAAGAGACAGATTTCATATTGCTTTGGACCCTAAAATAAATGAGAGAGAAAAATGGATTATAATTAAACAAGAACAACAAAAAAAAAAAGATGCCATAAGAAAATAACAGATGAAATGGAGCTGGGTGAAGGGCAGGCAGAGCTTTTTTTAAAAAAGGGAACTAGATGAGTTGAGGAGAAATGATCGTAGATAAAACAGGGAAAATCAGAATTTTAAAGTTCATTAGAAGCAGGAATGATCAGAAATAGATTTTGCTGAAAACGGAATCCTTGTGAAAAGCTATGCTGAAAAAAGTCTCCAGAATTCAGAAGGAAAGCAATCAGAGAAAAGGAGGAATATAGAGGAAAAACAATGGAGCTTAGAATCGTGATGAAAAGGGTGTGGAAAACTTTGTATTGGTATATACTTAAAAGTATAATAAAGGTTAAAGTAAATAAAGGAATGTGGTCCTGGTGTAAGAATCGAGAGAACCCAATGGAATGATTATAAAGTCTAGGAGCAGAACCAAGCCTATGTGAAAATAGACAGGTAGCAATTTAAATCAGTGAGGAAGACACAGAGGACTCGGTGGAGTTGGGACAGCTGGCTAACCACTTGAGAGGTAAAAAGGTTAGATCCTGACTTTCACCTCACATCATAATGAATTCTAAATAGATTGAAGTTTTACTGTAAATAAATGAAGTCAGAAATATACTGTAATAAATTGTTAAATATTTTTTAAAATCTGGAGCTGGGAAATTATTTTGTATACCTGACACAAAAGGCAGAAACCATAAAGGAAAATGACTGGTAGTTTGGCTACATTAAAAAACAGCCCCCCCCCCACACAAATTGTTTTTCAGATAATACCACAAACAAAATTCAAGATCAAATGATAGAATGGGGAAAAGTTCCACCTTATGTATAATAAGCTTAATATATAAAGAGGTTTTATAAATAAACAATATAGTTAACTATGTTATTGATAAATCAAAACTACTATTTTGATACTATGAGTAAGAATGCTCTAGTTTAAAAAAAATGGACAATGGACTTTTTTATTGAATGTATTGGGGTGACATTGGTTAATAAAATCATATAGGTTTCAGGTATCGGGGCAATGGACTTTAACAGGCAACTCAAGAAAGAAAAAGTAGAAATGGTAAATACAAAAAAGAATGCCCAAGCTCACTAGTTATTTAAAAAATTAACACAAAAAATACAATTTCCACCTATTATTTAAAAGGTTACTCTCTTCAAGGTCATTTTATGGTATTTTACAAAACATTCATTCTGTGACAGATTGTAAGTTGATTCTTTATCCATGTTTAGTCACTATTGCTGCTTAACAAACCACCTCAAATTTAGTGACATAAAACAACCACCATTTTTTTATGACCGTGGATTCTGTGGGTCAGGAATTCAGACAAGTCACTATGAAGCGGGCTGTCTTGGCTCTCTCATGTCTGAGGTCTAGTTGGGAAGCATTGAACAGCTGCAGGTGATGCAGGTGGCTGGGGGTTGGAGGCTTCACCACTCTTGTGTCTATGATCTGGGCTGTGATGACTCATCTGGGACTGTCAAAGGGATCTCCCGTATGTGGCCTCTCCGGGTGGCTTGGGCTTCCCTACGCCTGGTGCTGGATCTCAAGAGGGGGCATCTCAAAAGCCTGACCTTTGATGACCTACCCTCAGAAATCAGTGTCACTTCCACCATACTTTTGTTGACTGAAGCAGTCACAGCTTGCTGAGATTCAAATATGAAAAACACTGAATTAGATGAACCTTTCATGCCCTCCCAGCTTTAAAATTTCATGATTCTGTGAATTGACACTAAAGCAATGAGGGAATTAGAGAAAGAAGTGAAGAAACAGACGAGTAAATGGAGGTAAGCCCACTAGGTGATAAAATATGTCAATTAAGGGCATTTTGAGAAACGTAACAAGCCAGCTGCTGATTATAAGTGAACAATAGGGATTTAAAACATTTTAAAATAAAATACACATAACATAAAATTTGCCATCTTAACTATTTTCAAGTGTACAGTCAAGTAGTGTTAACTATATGCACATTTGCAACCAATCTCCAGAACTTTTCATCTTGCAAAATGGAAACTGTATCCATTAAACCATTAAACAACTCCTCATTTCCCCCACTCCCTAGCCACTGGCAACCACTATTCTACTTTGTGTTTCTATACTAACTTTGACTATTCTAGACACTTCATGTAAGTGAAATCATACAATATTTGTATTTTTGTGACTGGCTTATTTCACTTAGCATAATGTCCTCAGTGTTCATCCATGTTGTAGTACATGTCAGAATTTCTTTTCTTTTTAAGGCTATATTATATTCCATTGTATGTATATACCATTTTGTTTATCTATTCAATGTGTCGACCGACGTTTGGATTGCTGCCACCCTTTGGCTATTATAAATAATGCTGCCATGAACATTGCTGTACAGATATCTTCTTAAGATTTTGCTTTGATTTTTTTGGATATACCCAGAAATAGTATTGCTGGATCATACAGTAATTCTATTTTTAATTTTTTAAGGAATAGCCATGCTGTTTTCTAGAGAGGCTGTATCATTTTACATTCCCACCAACAATGCACAAGGATTCCAATTTCTCCACAACCTTGACAACACTTTTTCTTAAATAGCAGCCATCCTAATAGGTGTGAGGTGATATGAACGGCAGTGTTGACTTGTCAATAGTATAGTTAAAGGGACCAGAATCAATTTCTTATATCCCTAACTGGTTGGAATATAGGCAATTACTGATGGGTCTTGGTTCTACTGTGAGATCTTTGTAGCCCCAAGCAAATCGCAGCTCATCCTAGAGCAGTAGTGTCCAATAGAACTTCCTGCAATGTGTGAAATGTTCTACGTCTGCACTGTCTATTATGGGTAGCCACTAGCCACATGTGGCCACTGAGCACTTGAAATGTGGCTAGGATGCTGAGGAGTTGAATTTTATTTTTTTATTTTAATTAATTAAAATTTAGATAGCCACATGTGGTTAGCGGCTACTGTATGGGACAGCCCAAATCTAGGACATGTTTTTTAGCTCTTAAGATAGAACCATGTAGTCTGTATGTGGGGAGCTGCTGGTGATCCCTCTGACTCTCAGGCAGTTTTATAGGGTCTCATTAGTTGCATACCTAAGGAAAAATCCTGAGTCATTACCACTCACCGCCAATGCGTCTTCCACTCCCATCATTGGCAAAGTAAAACTAAGCCAGCTCAGCTCTTTAAAGTTCTGGAAATATGTGGTTATGTTCTGGCACCTTCTCTGTGGTGTTTTAAACTTGTGCTTTGTTTGGCTTCAGGACCTGTATGAGGCTGGAGAGAAGAAGTGGGGGACAGATGAGGTGAAATTTCTAACTGTTCTCTGTTCCCGGAATCGAAATCATCTGTTGCATGGTAAGGCACTTGCTTCATCTTCTAGAGGCATTGCTTGAAAGATAGTGAAAACTATATGAACCATAATGAATTGATAACCTTTCCTCCTTTACTTGGTACAAAAACGTATTGTCCTGAACTGTCTGAGATGTCTTACCTTGGAAAGGTGTGAGTGCAATGATATGCATGAAGGCCAATTTCTGAAAGATTAGTTATGAATAATTAACAGATGTTTGGCATTCCTGTTTACAGGAAACTGACCTTCATAGTCAATCCTTTTTCTAAAGCAGCTCTATTTTTATTTATTTATATATTTTTGTTATCCTCACCAGACGGTATTTTTTCCATTGATTTTTTTTTTTTTTTTTTTTTTTTTTTGAGGGTAGAAAGGAAAGAGAGAGAGAAACATCAATGTGAAAGAGACACATCGATTGGTTGCCTCCCACACTCATGGGGATCGAACCTGCACCCCAGGTAGTGCCCTTGACTGGGGATCGAAACTTGATACCTCCGGTGCACAGGCCGGTAATCTCAGCACTATTTAAATTGAGTTATACATAAGAGAAAATCTTCAGTACATCAGTACATCCAAGTTGTAAAACTAATAGAAGTGATCTCTTTAGGGGTTATGTTGCATCAGATGAATAGTGGATAATTTAAATTTTATTCCTAGATGGAGTTTTTCTAATTTGCTTCTGATAAGGCTAGTCTGCATAATATGCTTTTAACTTCTTTGGCAAAAAGATACGAAACAATTGTAGAATATTTGTTGTCAGGTTTATTTTCTTCTTGTAAACAGCAATAAGGGTTTAATAAGAGATTTCATCTTTTTTATACGCTCTTTATGTCTTTGTGCTATATCATAATTTTATAAACCCATCATGCCCATATAATCACAATTTACAAAGCTTGTGGGAAATTTGAGAATGAGTTTTTTAAATTGAAAACAAAGTAATTGAAAATTACAACACGTTTGGAAGTTGCAGTTATTTCAGATGTCCCACAGTGACAAGAAATAGGTGGTTACTCCTGTTAATAAATGTAATGGGCTATCTACCATCAGATGCACCAGCCTTGTGACTCAACTCCCTATTCCTTTGCCTTGCCTGACCTGATTACTAACACAAATCTCCCCCTGGTGGTACCTTCCAAAAACTGCAGGTCCCCAGAAGTCGATTTCACGCAAATACATTTGTAACAAATTTTACTTCTAGGCACAAATCAATAGTTGGTCAGTTATAAAATAATCTGCATGTAAACCTCTGGAAGAAAATATTTTAAGTACTATTTGGATAAAGAAAACTTCATAAGTTTCTTACTAACCAACAATAATAGTGAGAGTTCATAATATTTAAGGTTTTGTTAATTCTCTATCTTCTAGGTGTAGTGCTAAGCATATTATAAGCATTGTTTGTTGCAATATCCCCATGGAGCAACCATCACTTCCCCCATTTTACAGTGGAAAAGACTGAGGTTTAGAAAAATGTGTCTATTAGATTTTGTTATTCTGAGCAATATACACTGACTCCAACTTAAGTTTAACAGGTTTCCCAGGTGATTCTTTTGTTCCCTGAAGGTAAAGATGACTCAGTGCTTTTGGCCATCCCCATGATCTATGTGCTCAATTTAAAAATCCCCAGGAAGATAAGACTGATTAAGCTTATGGTGTATGTGTAGGGGCAGATGTGTCCTTGGATTGACAGCCCTGTGACAATCACATTGTTGGGGAGGCAGCAACCCAAAGAAGGTGATGCTAAGAAGATAAACAAAACAGATATCCACCCTAAGAAGGCAGCCAGAGAGAAAAATATGTTCATCACATTAAAAAATACTTGGCAGGGAAATCTGTAATACTTTCAACAATAAAGGTAAATTAAAAAAAAAAAAAAACTTGGCAAAAAAAGTGGAAAACTGTACTTATGTTAAAGCCTATTAGATGCAATCAGCTGTTATTAAATGTGACTCAGTTTTGAAGAGGTTGACTTGCTCTAGTTTTGATGAGCCGAAAGGAAGATGACTATACAGGTGATTGCCAAGCCAAAATGACAAAAAGACACATTCAGCTTATTAAGGAAACAACGAGAAAAGGAAGCAGATCTCTCCAAGGGTTATCTCCATTTGATGTGTGAGAAAACAGGATCTGGGATAAAGGAAAGGACTCGCCTGATCCCCATCTCTCGTCAGGCTCATTCCACTTACCATATGCCTCCTGGCTTTTCCCTCGCAATGCTCGTTAGTTTCCTCTTGAAATATGCCAAATAGTGTGGTCTAGCTGAATGATGCTCATTCGCTCTATAAATTTTAGTTTCCTCTGTTCTTTTTTTATTATTTGTAATTCCGTTTTGCTATTATTTGTAGTGTTTGATGAATACAAAAGGATATCACAGAAGGATATTGAACAGAGTATTAAATCTGAAACATCTGGAAGCTTTGAAGATGCCCTGCTGGCCATAGGTAAGCTGGTAGGGGTTGGGAGTGGAGAAACAAATGTTTATAGACTTTTCTCCTTGTTATCGACACTCATGGGCTGTAGATTTTTTTTTCAGGGATAAAAAAAAATTGTTTAAATCACTCATGATGTGATGCACAATTTTAAACAAGAAATATTATATACAACCTAATTGTTATTGTACCATGTGGCTTTATATATTTTATATCATTTGTGCCTTTATATTTCGAGATATGGGAAAGATAATCCTATACTAGCTACATCCTATATGTCTGTGAATGGTTAGAACAAATGACTTCATATGGTAGAGATGGAAATCATCTTTAAATTATATGCTGCCTTTTGATTTAATGGCCTTTATTAATTACTTCTCCAGGAACTTGACAATAAATTAAGAGTACTTCCCATCTGTGAAAGTGCTTTCAGCATAGCCTTTGTTCATAAAGCTTGGCTTGGCTACAATTTTTCTGACAAAGAGATGCTACTTCATAGTTTATAGAAACAGGGAACAGTTGTTAGGTTTTTCTCATAGATTTTATCTGTAATCTTTTCATTTCTTTTTCTTTTATCTCTTGACAGTAAAGTGCATGAGGAACAAATCTGCATATTTTGCTGAACGGCTTTATAAATCTATGAAGGTAAAAGGCTTCTTTTTAGCATCTGAATGGCTCTGACATGTCTTGTGTCCAAATGAGACAAAATCAGTCTAAATATGTTCAGTTCAATAGATCAGATACTTCACTGAGTACCAGCTACTAACAATACTAGGTAATATTTATTGAGTAGTTATAATGTGTGATCACTCTTCCTAATGCTTTATACATGTAGACTAGTTTTATCCCCACAACAGCCTTATGGGGCATGTACTATTACCATCCCCCATTTTACAGATGAAAAAACTGAGGCACAGAGAGGATATGCAACTTGCCCAGGGTCCTCATGAAAGAAGTGATGGAGCAGGGATGCAAACACGGCAGTCTGGCTTCAGAGCTCAAGCTCCTAACCATGCACTGCACTCTGTGCCAGTGTCCTTGTTGGGAACTATGGGTGGTGTAGGAAAGATTAAAATGTACTCCTTGCTCTCAAGGAACTTCTAGCCTTGAGGGGAAGGCAAGTATGTGCAAAACACCAATAAGAACAAAATAGAATACAGACAGTAGTTGAGGATCCAAATATTACAGGAACACAGAGGATAGGGTATTTTTTCCAAACTTTTTTTAAAAAAAGTGTAGATCAGAAAAGAATATATAAAGAAGTTGTTATGTTTGAGCAGGACCTTAAAGGAAGTTTTGCATTGGAGGATTTTACATGATAAGACAGGGGAGGGAAGGGTGACATGGGGGGATCATTGCAAGAGAGGCTTGCAGGCTGGAGAACACCGGGTGTACCTGTAGAGTGGCAGAGAGTTAGTTCTCTTGTCAGAGCAGAGTAGTGGAAAGGTAAGTTGGTGGAAGCCTTGAGCACCATGTTGAGGAGTGCTGTTCCACACACCTCTAAGGTTGTGGCATAAAGGACATCATCGGGAGAGTCACGCAGTCTTGCCTTGACAGACTAAAGAGCACTATCTGGAAACCACCTAGACTTTGATATGCTGGGATCTTGTTTTCTTCCCTAGGGTTTGGGCACCGATGATGACACTCTTATCAGAGTGATGGTTTCTCGGGCAGAGATTGATATGTTGGACATCCGGGCACACTTCAAGAGGCTCTATGGAAAGTCTCTGTACTCCTTCATCAAGGTAGGGAGCCTTGCCCTGGCCCAGGGGAAAGCTCTGATGAGAGGATAGGGTTCTCACGTAGGTATTTAGACACTTCTTATCCTCTCCTTGGCAGAGATCATTCCCTTTAAAGGTGGTACTCTAATTCAGATATTTCCAGTCTCTCCTTTCACACAGATGTTGAAATCTCTGCCGGGTTAGAAGCTGGAAACGTTTGCATTGTAAATATACTAATTATTTCATGTTGACCCCAGACACAGAAAGATTATATATACATATACATACATACACACCTATATATATATATAAAATATATCTTTATTGATTTCAGAGAGAGGAAGGGAAAGGGGGAGAGAGAGAGAAACATCAGTGATGAGAGAGTCATTGACCAGCTGCCTCCTGCACACTCCAGACTGGGGATCAAGCCCACAACCCCGGCATGTGCCCTGACCAGGAATCAAACAGCGATCTCCTGGATCCTAGGTCCATGCTCAACCCCTGAGCCACGCCCGGCCGGGCAAGATTATATTTTAATAAATACTTTTAAGAGCATAATTTCTCTGTCTACCTGCTTACAATGAAAGATAAGCCTCTGAGTCAGTCATCCAGAATCCTATCCAGGGCCAGCTGAGGTCTGCTGAGAATATGGGAAAGCATGTTCGTTATCCTGGGTTGCTGTTCTTTCCCTGGCACCAGACTTCTAGGCGAGCTAACATGACATGAGAGTGACGAGGAATGATCCACATTCCTAAAAACCTCTCATTACTTGGATTTTGCTTCTTGAGGAAAATTATGAGACCATGAATATGAAACCAAGACCCATTTCGCTAGAAGCTGGTGTTACCTGCACAAACTTCAAATCAGGATACAATCTGTGAATTAAATATTTTGAATCCTACTGAGAGCTTGTAGAGGTACAACTATTAGGTGATTTGAGCTGCAGAGTTTCATAGTAGTATTATTTATCCTACTTGTTTCTATTTCTGTACAGCCTATGGGGTAACTTTATTTTGCAGAGCTGAAATGTAGCTAGCTGTAAATAAAATACTTTAAAGATTCAGAGATGGCCATAAATGAAGTTATGGGGAAAGATATTTATAGCATACAATATAAGGTTAATATCCCTGTATTGAGAGCTTCTACAAATCACTAAGGAAAAAAAAGAGAGATCTCCAAAAACAAAACTGGGAAAGGATATTAAATATGCACTTGTGAAAGATGAAACGCCAATGGCCAATTTATAAAAAATATTTAATCTCACTAATGTTTAATGAGTTGAAAATAAAGACAGATCACTGTTCACCTAACACCTTCACAAAATTTAAAGAGTTCATAACCAGCATTGTGGAAGGGCGTGGGGAAAACTCACCAGCTCTTATGGAAGGACTATAAAACTGATCTAACCTTTCTGGAGGCAATTTGGCAATATCTGTTTGAAAAATGAATTCTACCTCTTACTTCGACATTATATGTTTAGGAATTTCTTTAGAGAAAATTAAATAAAAGTCCATTAATCCACAGAATGGGAGAAAATATTTGCAAATCATATCTAATAAATCAGGTTTATTATCCAGAATATGTAAAGAACTACAACTCAGTAACAAAAAGACAAACAACCCAATTTAAAAATGAGAAAGGATTTGAATAGACATTTCTCCAAGAAGTTATACAAATGACAAACACATGAAAAGATGGTCAACAACATTAATCATTAGGAAATGCAAATCAAAACCGCAATGAAATACCAATTCATACTTGTTAGGATGACTGTATTTTTTTAAAAAAGGGGAAAATAATAAATGTTGGTGAGAATTTGGAGAAACTGGAACTTCATGCGTTGCTGGCGGGATTGTAGGACGGTGCAGCCACTGTGGGAGAGAGTTGGGCACTTTCTCAAAAAGTTAGGCGTAGAATTACCATATGGCCCAGCAATTCCACTCCCAGGCATATACTCAAAAGAAATGAAAACGGGGACTCAAACAGATACTTGTACGCCAACGCAAGCATTATTCACAGCAGACAAAGGGTGGAAACAGCCTAAATGTCAACAGATGAATGGATAATCAAAACGTGACATATGCATACATCAAAAGAACAAAGTTTCTGAAACATGGATGAACCTTAAAAGCATGCTAAGTGAAATAAACCAGACACAAAAGGACACATACTGTATGATTTCACTTACATGATACGTATAGAATAGGTAAATTCATACAGACAGAAAGTAGATTAGAGGCTACCAGGGATTGAGGGATGGGGGAAAATGGGGAGTTACTGCTTCCTGGTGACAGAATTTCTGTTTGGGGTGATGAAAAGGTTTTGGAAATAGTAATGAGGGTTGCACAACATTGTGAATGTAAATAGTGCTCCTGAATTATGCACTTAAAATGGCTAAAATGGCAAGTTTTGTTATATATATTTTACCACATTTTTAAAAATCTATGACAGAATCTGAATAAAATTGTCTCATAAAATGTGAAAAAATACACTAAATATTATATTTTTATTGTTTCATTATTTATGTTATTTACATTATTTTATATTATTTATATTTGAATAAATAATATGGCATACTTTTATAATATATAATTTATTATATATTTTTATTTTTATTAACCAATGGGGGATGACTTCAATAAGTTATGAAAAATCCATACAATGTAGTACTATACAGACACTAAAATGATGGGATGCAAAAATATAGGGTGGGGTAAAAATAGGATTACAGTTGTGAGTATGAGAAATACAGAGTTTATTCTTGTGTTATTTATTAATTATTGTATTCTTTTCCATATGAACAACTGTGAACCTACTTTTGCCCCATCCTGTATTGACTGACCTGGGAAAACATTGCCATAAATAAATTTATATTACATGTTTGTATATATAAATATTTAATATATACGTGTATACACATACACAACACTGGAAAAGATTCAAAATAAGGAATACATTGCCCATTCAATAACAATTGTCAGAAAGATCATAATAGAAATATAAAATATATAAATAGAAAAATTGACAGAAATAAGGTAAAAATGTAAATTATAATAAAAATAAGTAAACTCTCAGGTAAGGTGAAAATATAAAATCGAACTCCATGCTATATATAAGGAACAGCTATAATACAGTGACATGCAAGAAGCTTATAAAAAGGCCAAGGAAAAGAACGTTTGACAAATATAAAGAAGAAGGATTACACTCTAAGGAAAAAAAGGAACTTAAGGAGAAAAAGCATTAAATAGGAGAAAGTGGATCACTTTAAGTTGATAAAGGCAATGATTCACAACAAAGATTAAAGTCTCATGAAATTTTAGGTGCCAAATATATAAAGAAGAAATTTGAGGCACCAAAAGAAGACATTTGATGGAACTACTATGCAAAGAAGACTTTAACATATTCTTTGGCAGGCCATTGAGGCAAAGTATAAACAAGAATATATTACATTTATTTTATCAGATGTAAATTAAACTTTGAACCCTATAAACACAGATTCCATCTTTTTTAGTGCCCATGAAGCACTAACGAAAATTGATCTGTTAATTAGACCATAAAAATTTCTATGTTGAAATTATAGCACCTTCTGGAAGGCTATTTTGGAACCCATATCAAAGGCTTAAGAAAATACATGATCATTAATCCAGTAATTCCCATTTTATGAACATTTATCCTGAGTAAATCATCAAGAAAATACAAAAAAGTAACTGTAATATGCTTATTGCAGCAGTGTTTATAATAGTGCAAAATTGGAAACTATATATATATCCAATAGTGGGGGTGGGTGATCAAATAAGTTATTTTACCTATGTACAGTGGAATATTCTGTAATAATCAATGATGCTGCAGAAGAGCATTTAATGAATTAAAATAGGGAAATATTCAGGCTATATTAAGTAAAAAATCAGAATACAAAATACTAGAGTCCTGTTACATAGGAATCTATATGCATAGAAAAAAGCCTGGAAGGATATGCACAAACCAAAATGTTAAGAACAGTCATCTCTAGATGGATGATTTTTTATGTTCTTCTTTTATGTCTCTATTTTCTTCATTGAACAAGTATTACTTTTGTGATTAAAAAAAATAACAAGTGTTATTTTGAAAACTCTGAGAAAAATGCAGACAAGCTTTACAAAGTTAACCTAGGTGGCTTTGTGCTGTGTATTCCATTGTAAAACCATTTTATCTGCTGCAACTTTGCTTCCCATCCTCAGGGTGACACATCTGGAGACTACAGGAAGGTCCTGCTTATTCTCTGTGGAGGAGATGATTAAAATGAAATCCTGGGAAGATAAGAGGATTCCCAAAACCTTGATATTTTTTAACTTCATTTTTCTACACTGCTATTAGCATTATCTCAGAATGCTTATTTCCAAATTAAAACGCCTACAGATGCCTCCTAGAATATAGACTGTGTTATTATTCATCTATAATTATAACTCATGATGCTTTAAAGCAGTACTTGCGTTTCAAAGCTTATAAAACCTAAAAGGAGATTTAAAATTAGAAATAATAATAATGTACTTCGTGTTTTTAACAGATCTCTTCTTCATTTGTGTTTCACAGAAATTGGAATATGTTAAATTATTTCATATTTTCTTTTTGGTGAAAATCTATTAAAGTGGAAGATTGGAAAACTGTTCTAAAATCATTTTTCTTACCTAATTCTATTTTTTAAGTGGCTAGTAATTTCTTGGTTTAAAATTATGAGCTTCTAGTTAATGAGAATATCTGTCCAATTTGCTGTTTCACATAGTCATAGTTTGAAAGCATCCACAAATGTCCTTTGTTTAGGTTTTGTTGATAGCATTAGTTGATCTTTACTAGGTTTGATGTGAGATACTTCCTATCACATCTTCTGTTAAAATCACTTACTCTCTCCAAGTTGAAGTATACCAAAATCACCAAGTTGTCTGAATAAATTAAATTCTAACTGTGGTTATACAGATCATATGTCTGGTTACCAAACATAAATGCTGAACATTCCACAATATTATGGTTAATGTCTTAATCCAGCTTGAAGATGAATGTAATGCTCTGAATTTTACTTAATTTTTTTTGTGCTAAAAATAATTTTTTAAGTCATTTTGGATTTTGTTGATTTGTAATAGCTTACATTTGCACTTTGCCTTTCAACTCTAGAATTATTCTGAAGTGTATTTGAATTTAATACAAAAGTTCAGTTTGTATACATCATGGAAAAATAATTTTAATAAAACATGGTGTCTTTAAGATGAGGTATATTCTTTATCTGACTTTATCACTTTTGAGGTTTTTTTCATCCTGAACCCAGAAAGGTATTTTTGAAGGACTGTGTTACTCAGTTTATTAAGAACTGCATTAAGAAATAAACAACATATTTAGTCTTATGTGCACCTACTGCTGTAAAACTAATGCTCACATATACCAAGTGTTATTACTACTTAGTGATATAAAATAATGTAATTTATTCTCTGAAAATGAGTGATGCTCTCCATTCTAAGTGGACCGTTTACATTAAATAAGAACATATTGTCTTCTTTGTTCATTCTATGCTATTGTATTTTGACGGGTGAAATATCAGGATTTTTTTTTTCCAATTTGTTTCTACTTGCTTATTATAAGTGTTCAAACAATTGGTAAAAGCTATTTACATGAATACTTAGTAATTCTAGTTGATTATAGGAAATAGTACTGCTGATACCTACCTAGAACAGTATGGAATTTCCAAATAACTTTATTTGGTTTTAGAAGCATTACAATTTTTTTCTTTGGCAGTTTTATCTTTAAATTGTACATGACTTAGCCAAAATTTTAAAACAAATTGCATTTGTTGACTAGAAGTTTTCTAGAGGGCAGGATAAAGCAAGCCACCCTGGAGGATGTTTGTTATATTGAACAAGTATGATGTAATACTATAATTATGAAGCAACTTTATTTTTGTCTCCTACTGTTCATTTACATTTTTTATTGGGCCTATTTCTTCTCCTGTCTTTAGATGAAAATTCAGAAGATAGAGTCATAACTTTTTTGGTCATTCTTAGGTTATAAAAAGTCCTGTGCAGTCCCTTGAGGTCATAAAACAGTGTCGTTTTGGTAATTAACGTGCCCAGTCAAAATTCTAAACTTGATTTATAGTTGAGGCTTCTTCCTTCATTCAGCTCTGGCCTATTGCTGGCTTTTGGGAGGGATATGGTAGGCTCTTCTTTGTCCACCTAGGCTTCCTCCCATATTCCACCCCCCAGCCCCCAGCCTAGCCAGGGTTGAAGTGGAGTTGCCAGTGGAAATTACGTTCACAGGATCATGAAAAAAGCTTTTCATGGACGCATGCACAGGAGATGGTGTGGCAAGATTTATTTGGGTGGAAATAGAAGGCTGCCCCTCCAATGTTCGATCTCCGTCCCACCGTGGGAAAAGTGCAGTCTTGTTTTCATCAAAGCCAAAACAAAGGCCAGTGGCCAGAGTTTCTGTTTCATATTAAAACTTAGTTCTTAGTCCTTTCTCAAGGTCTGCTGTGGGCTGTAGTTGGCTGCTAGACCTACATGGTCGTGTGTTCCCCAGTGGGGGGGTGGGGGGGGAGACTCTTCTTTGTTCCCCTGGGGTTATATTATCTTGGGCTTGTGAAAGACCAGCTTTTTCAAAATAACCAGTCAACTTCCCAAACTGTCATGCTGCTTGCGCTGGGCCCACCTTCCAACCAATCTATAATTTCCCCAGGCTATTGTCAAGCACCTCCCCCTGCACCATTTTGACTTCTATTGGCTCGTGCTTTCCTTCACCTTCTTTGTTCTACCCCCTTCCCCAGTGTTCTGGGAGGAATAGATTGGTGGTTCCCTGGGGAGTGTGTGAAGCTGTCACTTCCTGGCGAAGCAAGTAGGCTCTTGCTCCCTAGTTGATTATACATAATAATGTCTGAGTCCCTTTGCTTCCTCCCTTTATTAATAACTAGCTAACTACCTACGCTAACATTACCTGACTGCTCTGGTGTTGATGGTCAGTGCTACGTGAGGTTGGCAGATATTTAAAGCTGATACTTGTGGGCCTTCTCTTGGGTTCTTTTATCAACCCCATCACCAGGAACTGTTCATCTTTGGTTCCCTTGGCAAGGCAAATGCAGTTCTTGTTTTTCAGCCTTTAGGAATTCCATGATAATTTCAGATTCTCTGTGCTGCAATGTGTTTGTCCTTCCACCCAATCCTCTTGCACAAGCTCTAAGATGATCCCATGCTGGATGTCTTATGGTGGCATACACTTGTTTCATGGTAAACATTTGCATATCCTTTGTGTTGACAAATTCTGGGCATGCAGACTAATCCTCTTGCAGCCATCATTCTCTGCTTCTCTCCTAGCGCCTCCCCCCAAACTGCCCCAGCCAGCTTCTCTCAGTTCAGATTTCTCAGGGTAAAACCCAGTCCACTGGGGCCCCCAAACTACATATACTGCTGATGGGAGTCTAAATTGGTGTGATCATTTCAGAAGCAATTTAACAAACAGTTAAAGTTGAAAGTTCCTAGTAAATTCACTTCTGGGGATCTACTTGGTGAATTTCTTACACACGGTGTTCATTACTGCTGTATAAGAGCATTAACTGGAAAAAAACCTTATTCTTTCAGTACGGGAAAAAATAAATTATGGGTTAATCATACAATGAGCAGTGAAAATTAACTAGAGATTTGTCAGTTGGATAAGTCTCAAAAGTATAATTTTGAGAGGAGAAAGGTGTAGAATGATAGGTATAGTATAATTCCATTTAATTATATGCCTAAGTGTGCACAAGAAAATATATTGCTAATGTGTATACATATAAGAACATGCATGGGAATAACGATATACACCACTATCAAGATAGTGGTCACAATAGGTGAGGGAGAGAGAGAGACTGAGATGGAGAGAGCGTCAACCTATCTGTAGTCTATATAAACGAATGAGTCAAAGCAAGTATAATAAATTTGTTTCTATTAAAATTTGTTATCATAGTTGTGGGCCCATGGGTATTTATCATATTACTCTAAGTCATTAGAAATATTTTCATTATATTTTATTTGAAAAGTAGCAGGAGGGAGTCAGGGAGTGCAAGCTGGCTCTCCAGTGTCCATAGCAAGGGCTGCATCCTCTAGGCAGACACCTGTAAAGTTTGCTTGGGCCTCCAGATGGCACTTGAAGCCGTGACAGTCCCAGCACAGACCCCAATCCGAGGCCCCACTGCCGCAGGGCAGAAAGGAAAGGAGTGCGGGAAACGTCTGCCAAAATCCGTTTAGGAAGCGGAGAGTTGATGTTTAAGAAACCCAAGGGCCTAGCATTCTAAGACGCACAGTGTAGTCCTCCTGCCCCGGAAAGCCAGACCCCACCTGGGCAGGGCGCCCCCCGGCACGTGGGGACTCCCCAGGGACGAGCTCCATCCAACAGCCTGTTTTGGCCCCTAGCGTAGCACAGGGCCCGGTAGATACCTGCAGCTCGAAGCACTTTTGCAGAAAGAATGAATGAGCTGCAATTCCGGGTCTCGTTAACGTAAAGGGGTTGCCTGAAATAACGCTAAAAATGAGGTCGGTCCCCAAACTTAAGCGGATCGCCGCGCAAAAGTCACAAGCCCGAAACGGCGAGGAGCCCCGCCCTAGTCTCGTTCTGCGCAGGCTCCACCCGCCAACCACGCCACTTATCCCCGCCCCTTCCGGAGGCTCGCCGAGCGCCTGCGCCGTCCGGGCCGCGCTTATTTGCGAAAGCGAGGGGGCAAGGTCCTGCAGCCCGGAGACGCCGCGCGCACAGACGCTGCGGGCGGGGCGGTGGATGGAGGCGGCGGCGTCCGCTGCGACGGTTGGCGCCGCGCGTGAGAAAGTGGTCGTGTAGACACCCGGGCCTGGCGGAGACCCGCGGCGGCGGCGGCGGCTGGGCTATGGCGGGAGACCAGGTCCGCTGGGCTCCCTGAGGTGCGCTCCCTGAAATCCCGGGGAGCCGTGGCTCATGGGCTCGCTGAGCAGCCGAGTGCTGCGCCCCTCGGGGCGTACCCGAGCCCGGCAGGAACCGGGTTCCGGGGCGGAGGACTCGTCCCGAAGGCCGGAGACTGGCGGCGATGCGGCCGGCCACGGCTTCTGTTACTGCCCCGGCAGCCACAAGCGTAAGCGGAGCAGCGGGGCCCTCTGCTACTGTCACCCCGAATCCGAGACAGACGAGGAGGAAGAGGAAGGGGACGAGCAGCAGCGGCTCCTCAACACCCCTCGAAGGTACGTGGGGGGACGCGTCCGCACCTGTTGGGCGGGTCCCGCGGCCCCGCCTGGGGACTAGCCAGGTGGCGCTTCGGGGGGGTGCGGCGCTCTCCCAGCCTGTGAGGAGCGGACATGTCCTTGACAAGGTAAGTGTGGGAGCCGGTCCGATGCAAGGCTGATGGGGAGCGCCTCGGGAGGCGCTTGGTGTTCGGGATTATAAACCACAGACGCCGCCAGGATGATGTTATGGCCCCGAGATGAGACTCGGAAACGCCAAGCCGAAGCTTGCGCCTCATTAAACCTTAGACACCGCCGGCCGCCCGGCCGGCCTTATGTGATACACCTTTGTTTTCTCTGAGTAGCAGTAGAATAAGTTGTCTTGCGTCCGGTGGCCTTAAATAGTTTAGACGCGTAAATTTAGTCTCTGAGATCGGCACTCCCATTGTCGGCCACTCAGTGTAACGGAAAAGATGACAGTTCTCCTTAATTGTAAAGGTGAAGTTTATCAATAGTGTACATATGTACCTTACTAGGAACAGTCTTTCAAAGCTTCTAGTACTTGAATTTCACCATGGATATGTGTAAGGCTGTGCTGCAGCTTGCTCAACCTTTTTTTCGAAGAGTTGAAAATCAGGATATTTACTTGTGAACTAGAATGTTGTTTCTAAGAAGAATATGTTTTTCACACAAGCAATCTGGTTGCTTTGTTTTTAAAGGTTAGTGGGGTTACATAGATTTAATTTTTTAATGAAATTTTTAAAAAATGATTCAAAAATGTTTTGCTTACACAAGTATTATGTGTTGTAAAATGAAAGCATAGATAGCTTATGTTAATAGTTTGATTTATAAAATCCTTCGTACAGTTTTATGTAAGAATGCTTGTCCAAAAATGGGCCCCCACTGTTAAATTGTTGTTACCTTTTTGGAGAGTTAGCATAATAAGTTTTAACAGCTCAGATTCTGAGTTTTAGTCTGTATTCTGTACATAATTGCCTATTTCCTCATAAGTAAGATGGAGATACTAATAATTGGCTTATAGGGTTTCACAAATGTTAGAATGTGTACAATAAACAGTGTCTGTTAAAGAAGCACTCAGTAAATATTGTCTCCTTGATGAATTGACTCCCTTTATCATTACAAAATGTTTCTCTTTGTCCCTGATAATATAGCCACTACCGCTTTATTTTAGT